CAGCTGCTGACACTCAACCCTAAACCCGTTCACATCTATGCACCTAAACCCTAAATCCCACCACCCACACCACAGGGGGCGCGGGGGTGCAAACCCTAAACCCAACACCCACCACCACACCACAGGGAGGGGGTTAAGGGATTAAACACTAAACCTGAAACCCACAACCCACCACCACACCACACCACATTACACGGGGGGAGAGGAGGGGGGGGTTAAACCCAAAACCCACCACCACACCACAGGGAGATGAGTGGGGGTTAAACAACCCACGTAAACAACCCCACCACCCACATCCACCCACGGGGAAGGCAGCATAATAGGGCCCGTAAGGGGGGGTAACCATGGGGGNNGGGGGGGGGGGCACCATATATAAGGGTCAGGAATATAAAAATACATAAAGGCATCTAAAGACCATGAAAGACACATAAAGGCATCATGGCTTCAGACACTCGGTGTTTATATGTCATAAGCCTTAAGGGGTCTAGACCCCGCCAGTCTAAATCTGGATCATGGTAGCAGGAGGACGGTTGTTTTTTCGCAATCTGTCAGAGTGCTCCCAAGCCACATGTCGAAACATCGGACACATTGTGCAAGCAGTTGTCGAGGAGGCAACTGCGGACGAGTTCTATAGCTACTCAGCTTTATTGGAATTACTACAAAAATCTGCTATTGATCAATTTCCCCCCTCCAAACCAGAGAATCCTGTGAACCTTTNNNCCCCCCCCAAATTGATACTATCAATAGTACGCAGGTTTCTGGCCCTGGCTGCCTCTCTGCTGCAAGCAAGACTGAACTCAAGCCCTGCAGAGTGCGCAATCTGTTGGCTGGAATGGGGCACCATGCGGGCTGCTGCCGCAAATAAATGACTTCAGAAGCGAGGCCATTCGACATGGAAACAATTCTGTGGCTCTTCCGGGTGTTTCAGGAATAAGGCCTCTTCCTCGTCTGCACGATCTGTTGCATCCTGGAAAAAACCAACAGCGCAGGGCATGTAAACCAAGCATCGAGGTTCATCTACAAGCAGGTGCAGTCCTCTGGCTCCACAATGTCAGGCGCCGTTTTTTCGTTGGCTGCTGATTCCTCAAAATGATGCAGAGGATCAAGATTGGTTCCACATGGCCCGCTGGCCCAGAAGACACGATCAGAAAGAAGGATGACGGCGTGCAACAGCAATGCCTTCGGCTTTCGTGACCTCTTTTGCCGAGCCGGCTTCGATTGCGTGGCCCCAGCCTCAAGTGACAGTACAACTAAGCAGTGATGTGATGCTTTTGCGGAGGGAACCTGAACTTATGATCGCATGCCAGTTTCTGTAGTACGAGTAACTAGAACTAGCATAGAACATGTTCATGCTCGTCGGATTCGGAAGGAGGAGCGGAACGTGGAGGTAGGTAGGCAGCAGGCAGGCAGGTGGGCAAGGGGGGATGCGAGAAGAGAGACAGGCAGAGATCTATGGATCGGCAGATAGTCCAACGACCAATAGATAGAAGGAGGATAAGCGCAATGTGCACAATGATTCTCAAAGCAGCAAATGAAAGTATGAGCGAGCCGTCTGCTGCGATCGATGCGTCAGCATTGTAAGCTCGACCTTTCCGTCATGCATGCTGCGACAATGCCCATCCAGGAACGTGCAATCCTTGGGAGCCCGAGCGTGCCTCTAAGCAAGCCCTTCATCCATGACTGGACTCCGACGACTCCGACCGCTCAAAGGATCAAGAAGGCTTCTTACAGGCTTTCACCAAGTTGGCCGGCCTTGGGCACTTCGGCGCCTTGCAAAGTCACAAGAGCACCTGGCAATATGTGGCAACAGGCTCGGGCAATCGCGAGTTCTTAAACGGCTTGAGCCTGCTTCTGCCACAGCACGATCACGAGCGGCACCACTTAAGCCAGCCAGGTATCTGAAAATGAACCACACCGACAAAGGCTAAACTTCAGAGACTGCAAACGCCTCAGCAGGAGCTGAAAAACCTTTTTGGGAACCAGCTCTGGTTCGTATGCGTGACGGAGCAGCCAAGCCTGCATGGCCATGGCCCCTCCCTCCCCTGGCCCTTTCTATTTGCAGCGAGTTTCTATCGTTGACCCAGCCTGGGTGGCTTTGTTGAACCGCCAAGCCGTCCCCAAATCCTCACGCACTAGCGACTTGCTCTTCCAGGCTTATCAGTGTCTCGAGGTACGCCTGGTGCGCCTTCCACGCCGCTAAATACGACGATGCTTCCTCAGAGTGAAGGGGTGTCAGTGAGAAGCCGAGTTCTCCAGCCCAGGAGGACATTCTGTCAGCTTCAGCTGGGCTCCCTGCTTCGGGGTCCTTTGTTCTGGCCTTTTCCCGCGCCGTCTTCCGGCGCTTTTGCCTCGCGCGCTTGGCGCGTGCCTTCACGTGGGCACCACAAATTAACCATTGTCTACGTGAGGAGCCAAAATCACAGCTCGCCCGAGAAAGGCTAAACTGCCAAAGCCTCAACTCACAAGGCAGCCTTGTCCAGCTGCGACAGAATCCCTTTGTTCTTCTTTTCATGACCACTTCGCTCAGTCTTGACCTCGTTAGTTTATGGCACAATGCCGGCGGCACAACTGCAAAAACTGTTGGGAACGACACAAGGGCTCAACATCTGCAAATCGCCTCCGAATCTTTCGTCTTCTTCTGCTTCCCCTTTGACATGCTGGCTGTTGGCTTCATGGCCGTGTCTGAGCAGGGCTCCGTCATGACCTGGCCAAACACGACAACCGAGAAAAACTGGAAAACCATCGTCGTGCACTAATCCCAGCCTTGCTTGGCCCCGCTGACGATTGCGCCGGCACTGCCGTCCCAGTTCGTGGCTGCGTCGGCGCTGCTCCGATGCCGCGCCATCGCGCTTGCAGCAGCCCGGGACTAGGCATGGCAGTTCGGCAGTGTTCGCACAGTTCGGCAGACGGCGCGATTGTGCTTGGCTTTGCTAGACATCTCGCCTACCAGCAGTTTGCGCTGGAAGCTGAAGCTGGCGCCACTGTCTGGACTCTGGACCCGTGGCTGAAAGGCTGGTGAAATGCAATCAAAATCATGCGGAACACACAGGCGCATTGATACGTGAGGAAGCCTCAGTGCCTTCCCTCCAAACATTGCGTCGCGTGCTTTTTACGTTGCTGTGGGTGAAGACTTCATGGTGGGAAGTACCAGAGCCCATGTTCACAAGATTGCGTTTGCGCTTCCATCAGCCGCACCCTAGGCAAGAGAACAGCGGCTTGTGTGAAAGTCACTCGATGTGAGCCGTGACGGTCGCCTGAGCCCCCTTGTCCTTCTTGCCCAGCTTCGCCTGCTCCTCTTGGGCTTCGGGGTCCTTCTTCAACTCTCCAGACGACAACTGCATGCTACGAGTCTTTCTCGAGACCGTTTTTCTCTGAGCCAGACAGTAGAGCAAAGGGAGCAGCAGCACAGAAGGTTCCAGCTGTCCTTCACTGGAGTCACTCAGTGTTGCTGTCCTGCAGGTAGTGACGCGAGGCTTCCACGGTAAGCCCAACAAGTCGCCGTCCTCTTCTAGCTCGTCACTCGGGCATTCCTCGTCGTTATCTGAGCTCGATGACTCTGAGCTACCGCCTTCAGTGCTTCAACACGGAGATCATCGCAAACTACCAGTTATCATGACCATCTCGCTATGACATCCACCGGTGCTCGGCGAGGCTTGGGACGTGTTCCAACTTGCCTGGACCTGCTTAGCATGCCAGTCTGAGAGAAAGGCAGAGATATAGCGCAAACGGCCTTCTGACGGAGTTTTGACGCAATCTCAGAGGCCCTGGCTTCAGCCACAGAGACCTGCAGAGCACAACATGTACTGTCACCTAGGTGCCAGCATGGGACCACAACCTCGTCCATCGTGTCAGCTTCGACCTCCCGTGTGGCGTGCTTTCGGCTCACAGTGATTTTGCTTCTGACCTGTGCGACAAGTGCCGACACTGCGAGCGACAGAATGCACATGCAGCAAGGCGGATCAAAGCGGCCTGGAGCACCTCAAGCTCTTCTTTCCCAGTAGGCTGACCAGCGTCATCGAGCACGATTCGCTTTCTGCGTTTTTCCTTCACTTCGTGACGCTCCTTCTTGACTTCTTCGCCCGGCAAGTCATCCTGGCTTGTTTCTCTGGCTTTGCTTCGTTTCTTCTCCTTCTTTGCTGTCTTTCCAAGCTGTTTATCCTTCTTGTCCTTCTTTGCTGCCTTTTTCTCCTTCTTTTGTTTTTTCTTCTTTTTCTTCTTCTTCGCAGCCTTTTTCTGAGCCTTGTACTCTGCAACGACCTTGCAAGGGAACGCGGAGGTTGCGAGGTCAAGGCTCGGCATGCTAAGAAGGCACCTTCTGCAAGAACGCAGGGTCCATTCGCAAGAAATCAGGTCGCAGCTTCAGTTTCGAAGTCCCCTTCAGGGTCAACGTGATTGCAATAAATGCAAGTAACGATATGGAGTCCGGTCCTTGCCCTTGAGTTGGGAGAGGTATTGGTCAGGACGCCAAGCTGGATCCTGGAGTTATCAGCACGTTACATGCGCGGCTCCGAAGTCGGAAGCGCCTTGCCGTTGGCGAGTCGGGCCAACAGCTCATCCTTCAAACGAACTGAGAAAGGACAACTTTACCTAGTCTCAAAACAAACAGCATACGCCTCCTTCTTGACTGCATTCTCTTCTCTATCCTCGCTCGCAAGTCAAGAAGCAAATGCCAACCGGCCATACATTGAAGTCTGCGAAGTCTCGGGACTGTTCTGTCTCAAACTGGTTCACCACATTGCTCGTCACCTGCCAGGACGAGTGCCAGAGTTCAGCTAAACAGCCCTCAGGATCATCTTTTCCGGCCTCAGCACCTTCAGGAACCTTGGTAACTTGGCGGACCTTGAGCAGGAATTGGCTGCTTTCTACGTCTGCCAGATCTCTGCTTGAGGTGCAGACAACGTCACCCTTTCGGCTTTTCAGCGAAATGGTGCATCGGCTACCTTTGTCCTGTCACTTGAAGACCATATAACTACACTAGCGAAGGGTGTGAATCGGATTGGTTGCAACACTTCGCCTGAATCTCACGCTCTTTCCACAGGTCCACCTTCTCATATGCCTGTCGGTGCAGACACTTCACACTTTAACGCGCGGGCATTGTGTGCTTCTCCGCGCCTTGTTTCTAGAGAGCGCTTGGCCAAGGACAGAATTTAAGGCCATGCTTCACTCTTGGTGAATGGCGGCCAGCGAATTAAAACATGCAGTTTGGGCCTAACACCAGCAGATGCTCGCGAAGTCATGAGGCATTTCGACAGCGTGCACCCTTGGCAACAGAATGTCACAAAATCCATCAGTTTCCTGTTCGGCATTCTGTGAAGATCCGTCGGATGGCGAGGCCTTCATAGTCTTACACATATACGCATGTCGCAATCGAAGCATTCGAAGACCCTCACATGTTGCCGGGCGTTTCCGCAGTGCTGCGAGACACGTGGCCGGATCCAGAGCCAATGTCTATTGTGGGAAAAGAAGGGAACCGCTCCGGTCTAGCAGACCTTGGAGGTCCTGATAATAATCTTCCTTTTCCTGCCACTTTGGATCCACCTCATTCGAGGTGTGGAGGTCAATGCTGGGAGAAGAAGAGCCGCGGGCCATGCCTGAATCTGGAAGTGGAGCTCCACTGGCCTGCAGCAGCACCGAGATCCACGGGATGGCGGCGGAATGATCAGTCAGCGAAGCCTGCCCAAATTCACGATCTCCGAAATTTCTGCTTCAGCTTCTTCGGTCACCTGTCTCAGCCTCAAGCTATGATTTCACCTATAACTTATGCATTGCTCATGTACATCAGCGGGCGTTCTTCATTCCTGAGGGATAAGCCAAGCTCGAACTATTTTGACTTGCCCCTCATTGTTGACAATAACCTCAACAGCAGCAACATGCGTTTCGGCCCAGCTGGAGTGCATCCAGCAAAGGCATACATCGCGACTCCGCATTGGCACAACTGTGCTGAGAACTCTCTGGCCAAGTCGAAGCATGCCATCTGCTTCCTCTTGCCAAACCACGTTGGTGACCTCGACCACACATGCATACTTGACAAATCGCAGTGGGAACACCTCCCATTCTCACCTGTCTATGTAGAAAGGCAGGCACCGGCTGAGACGAGAACTGCTATTTGGTACGGAACTTCCTCCCTCAGAACATTGAACCTGCCACAGAGGACTATTCCGGCACCAAAGTTATGCCCGAATGGAGCGGCACATAATACAGGCGGAGGGACAACTTCTCCCTGGTGATCTCAGAAGCTGCTACTCGTGCGGGAACGTCGCTGAGGCTCTCCACGGGGTAAATTGGACTGGCCGGTGCACCGGGCTTTCACGGTTGACGGCGAAAAAAACTCATCAAAGCTACCCCTGCCGTGGTCCGGCCTTTGCTTGGGAAGGTTCTCGCACAGCCACCTCACTTCGCAAATTGAACATGTGCCTGGTCCTGGGCCTGGCACTCTGTCAAGTTCCTTCTGAGAGCAAGACAATTTGATTGGATCAAGAGATTCGGGATCCTTGAGTACTGAGGTCGGCCACAGGTTCTGCAGCAACACCTCGAGACGCGGGATTCGAGTGCCCATCCTACCATCTCAACCCTGACTGCTTCCTTCCTACACAGCCGACGATTGTGATTGCACGTTTCTGCGCTGACCTGGCTTGAACACACAGGTGACAGACACTGCTGGTAGCAGTGGACATGACCTCTTAGTGCCCAAATCGGGTCTAAAGCAAAGGTCAGAAGGCAAGAAGACTTGTCAACTTTATGCGCGTCTTCGAAGGTTAAGGATGCACTGGGTGGCTCTGAATTCGACTTTTCATGACATTCTCTGTGCAGGATTCTCCAAACGTTCCCAACATCCTTCTGCAGTCTCATTATCCGCATTATGTCTTGGATGATCCTACGACGATACGATTCCTTTTTGCATCGCAGCTTTAAATGATCGTTTCTTTCACGGTCAGGGTTTATGAGTCTGGTCTGCTGCAGGCGAGCCACGAAGATTGGCAGCATGTCAGGTCGGAAAGCTAAGCCCAAATGTGTTATGTTAGTTTCACTTAAAGCTCACGACCACAACCGTACTAAAAACTCTGCATGTACGGTAGTGAGCCATGTCTAAAACCACTACACGATAGCCGTCTCTCATCAGCATGCGAGAGAAAACATGCTACAATGCTCTAGCGGCCTCATCGTTCGCATCGACACCCAAGTCTCTAACGAGCACATCCTGACGCAAAGCCACATCATGGAGTTTGGCACATGGCTCTGCGACTTCTGGAAGACGTGGCTCAACTGAGCTCAGAACCTTCATTTGCGACACAAAAGCTTCTACATCCACGTGCATGTCCCGAAGCAGGTCGACCTTGTTGAGTACCACGTTCACCTCCAGAATAGCATCAGCTCCATAGCCGCTGGTGATCTAATTCCCATGCTAAATAGAGAAGGCAGAGGCGGTGCCTGAACTTGAATAGATCAGTGAGGAAGCTCGGCCACCGGGAATCTAAAGTTCAGATCTACTCCGTACCGTGCGGGCTGCAGGTTTCAGCTCTTCTCTGCATGTTTTGGCCCGGCCTTTGCATTCAAGCGTCGCAGCCTTCTCAAGAATGACAGCTCTTCTGCAAGCTCAGGATGTAGCCACCTCCAAGGCTAGAAGACCGGCTAATCGGATTCCCGGCTAGCGGCGAGGTTCGCTAGGTGCTGACACGGCACCAGGAGTCCTCGACTGCAGGCCCAATTGACACGCCATCCAGCTCTGCACCTGCAGCTTTGCCCTCATGAGAGCTGAGGAACATCCAGTCCAGCTGGTCCAGAACGACAAGCTCAGACTCTTGCAGGCAGGCATGTAATCGCCATATGCCAGGCATTTTGAGGCATCCAAGACCCAAAACAATGCATCGGATGCCTGAAGTGACACTGCACATGATCGACACCAAGCACCCATGCTTTGGGCCCACGCTCTGGTTTGTTTCCATGCTGTTTTCACCATTGCCTCGCAAGGTCGGGCCACGTGCTTGGCAATTTCTGGGGGAAGCCCGTGCCTTGTGGAGCCTCGTTTGCCGAAACAAGCGTTTTCGCTTGTGTCTGTCAATACAGGTTGCTTCATACCGAAGGGGTCTTCTTGTCTGCATCGTGTCACCCCTGCCTGAAAGCAAACTCCGACACAGACTCACCGACCTCCATTATGCCAGCTGTGTCAGCGAAGACAGCCTGCAAAACGGGTTGACAAGAACCGACTGTTCCATCCCTCGGCACCTGCCTGGGTCGTTGGTGCGGAGTCAACAGTTGGAGCAAGCAAAGCCAGGCCTTCTTGGAACAAACAAAGGACTCAGACTTGGATGGATGGTGCATGGAGTCCAGCAAGATCTATGTGAGCTAAGTTTCGTGCCCAAAATTCTTTGGCGCGTTGTCTGTGGCTTCGGCGAGACAATGGACACCTTCACGGAAGCACAGCACAAGGATGCACTGCCAGCCGTGGGTATCTTTGCCTTCGCGCCCACGAGCGCGTTGACCAAGGAGGATTTTCCAGAGTTTGGAACACCGAGAACAGCAATCTGGCCACTGCGCTCAATTTGAGTGACATCGACCTGAGCAGAACCGCCCCGCTGAATCCAACAGGATCCGATAGCGGATTTCTGAGAAGCTGGCAGGCTCGATTGCCGTTGCATCATCTGCCTCAGCCACCACGACGCTGTCCTGACGAAAAACCAAAGGACCAGGGTCACCGAAGGCGTAAAATGGCGTTATGAGCTGCTGATGAGGTGGGAGCACGTTTGACCTTCAACAATGCACGTGAATGATTGATGTTGTCGACTTCCCGACCACTATTCTCGAATGGCAATGCTTCGTTGAGCCGGCGAACAAGCTAGAAGTCGAGCAATCTGCAATGAAAATCCGGTTGACAGTCGATGGTTTTACGAGGCAGCGGATGCAGACGAACATACAGATGCAGGGCACATGAACAAGCATATACAAACACACATGCATACGGATGTACAGGGCAGCGCAAGCAGGCAGGCAGGCAGGCAGGCCGGCCGGCGGACTGACTGACTGACTGACAAACTGACAGGCCGACAGACAGACAGACAGACAGACAGACAGACAGACAGACAGACAGACAGAGAGGCAGGCAGACAGGCAGGCAGGCAGGCTCGCAGACATGCTTACATACCGACATGAGGCCCACATGCTCACACATCTAAATACCTACATACCAACACACCCACATGCCCGCATGCAAACAAACTTGTGCTGCTACCTTTATCGGCACAGAAGCTGCGATCGCAAACCGTCGTGAGTGAGAGTGAGTGAGAGTCAGTGAGAGTGAGTGAGAGCGAGTGAGGGTGAGTGAGAGTGAGTGGGTGTGAGTGAGAGTGAGTGAGGGAGTGAGATAAAGTCTAGTGCACGGAAATACAGTACCAGGCTAGATAGCCAGTACCAAATGTGATTTTTTCATGTAAAGCAGACCAGAACGGACCATGTAGAACAGAATGCACATCATAGCATCGAATCGAATAGAAAAGAGAAGTATAAAAAATAGAGTGTATTGGAGAACCCAATGGGATAAGATAGAATAGAGTTTCACAGACTGTAACGAACTCGGGTAGAATATAACACGACATGACGAAGTATACGGAAATTAATAACAAAATTCAACACGGTGCAATAAGATACATTACTATGTTAGGCTCTCATGTGAGACTCAACCAGAAAAATCTAGTATGGCATGTAGTTGCGCTATATGTCTTAGTATGTCATACCGTCCAGTTTTGCACAGTATGATGCAGTGTAACTTAGTAGGGGCATCCTGTAACAGTAGTCTTTATAGGTGTCCGGGTACAGACTACACACTTATTTATGGGAGGACTTGACACTTATTTCTGGGAGGAGTACACACTTATTTCTGGGTAGAATCGACACTTATTTCTGGGAGGAATAAACACTTATGTCTAGCAGGAATAAACACCTTTTCTGGGTAGAATAGATACTTTGAACGAAGAAACTCCTATTTTCGCGATGAATGGACACTCTGTGTTGGGAGACAACAAACACTTATCCGGGGCCGATAAGTGTCTGTTTTGGGAGACAACAGACACTTATCCGGGGGCCGATAAGTGTCTGTTTTGGGCGTGTTGTGCCAGAATCAACCTCCAAATAAGTGTCTGTTTTGCCTTAAAATAAGTCAGAATCAACCAATGTCTACGGTCTATTGTGTCCTAAAGTAAGTGTCTGGTGTGCCAGAATCAACCTCCGAATAAGTGTCTATTTGGATCTATAATATAAGTGTCAGTTGTACCAGAATCAATCCCCAAAGCAGTGACTGTTTGATCCCGAATAAGTGTCTGTTCGTAATTGCGAACGACGGCCCCAAACCCTGACACATACCTCTAAAGAACCCATACGAGTTAATGTTAGAGGCAGGCCCTAAAGTATAACATTATACTGATCAACACTATATTATGCTATCTTATTCAGTATCATACTTGAGTAAACAATCTCATCTAATCTAATCTAATCGTATAACATCATACAGTGTGTTACCACCGTTACCACGATAAAATAGAAAAGGCTCCAGATAACATTGTCATGCGGGGTTCCACAACACGGGTAGGTTCATGCAAACTGGGTAGATTGCATTCAAGTATATCAGGTAGCATCATTATTGCAGATTCAGTTTCGTAACGGGTGGCCAGTTCACTGCTAGATGTGAGCTTCACCTACATAAATACTGGCATAGAGGACACGATAAGCACCGGCGACGCATAAAGTGGCTGAAAAAAACTGTGCAGGAGACATCGGCACAATCTATGCCTCATCCCAGTAGGATGTACCCTTTATTCCCTTGGTCCATGCCTCATTCTTTTGCGGGATGCCAACCTCTGTGCGCAATTTGAACGGGGTTGCCCGTTCTGGTCAGATTTATTCCGCATTGTTCGCACCAGAATACAGCAGAAATCCTAGCAGGACAAAACCCCCCGTCAACGAAAACATAATATCATGCAAGAACAAGTAAGGCGTAAAGCCTCCCAGAATAAGGCATACTTTTTCCACAAATCAAGACACAGGAAAAGAAAGCAAAAGATGACTCCGTTTACAAAGCACAAAGGTATTGGGAGATCCATCCAACGAGGAGGAGAGAAAGCGTGATTGAGCTCACAGCCAAGGCATACACTGAGGGTTGTGAGGCCGTGTTGCAATCAGTGCTCCTGACTATCACTTGGATCAGTTGTGTTCTTTTCGGTATGAACACATCTCTTGCTACTATGATCTGCTCCATGCTGCACCAATTCCTCGAGAGAAAAGCTCCGTGTTGAGGCTGGATGAAAGGTCGTGGCAGTCAAAGCGAGAGGAGGTATGTACTACTTCATTGACAGTACCGTCACTCACCACTACCCAACAGCAGCATCACCAAAACCAGGACAAGCATCTGGAATCTAGGCCGACATGTTACCTCTCGTCCTACTTCTGGAGTCCTCAGAGTCCTCGGAGCCCTCGGATCCCCGGGAAGCCTGGCTTCAAACGATCGGAAAGGTCTGTCCTGCATTTCCTTCCCCCAGATTACCCCAGCCTCCAGTGTGCGAAGTTCACTCATCATTGATTCCAGCTCAGATCCAGGCAGCACATCACTGCTGTCAAAGTCTGCGAGCAGCGTGACTTTGCCATGCAATGAATGGGGCGCCCGTGCCCACCAAACAACGCAAACCTGCTGATGTGGGACTCGTCGGGCCTTCTGCGTCTTTCACGGCGGTCGGTGGCGATGGCCTGCTCCGTTCTTGCGCAATACCAGAAAGCAATGACATTCAGCAGCCTCGGCGCTGACTGCGCCTTAAGTGCACTTCCTGAGTAATGATGGCACAAAGACCTGCTGCTGTGCATCTGCATGCGAGCGAAAGACCCGCCGCCCGCTTCAAGCGCCGCCGTCCGAACTTGCACCTTGGCGATCTCGAAATATCACTTGCAACCAGTATCTGGACGGCACGCGAGACGGCGGGCCAAGTTTCGGGCTGGCATCCGACCAGAACTGCCGACACGGCTGCCTGACTGCCTGTAGACTGCGGACCTCGCGATGGCCTGGATGTCGAACCAGGGCCTTGCGAGCATCCGGCTGTTGGCCTTCAGCGGGGAGAGCGAGTCTGCTGCCGACTTCAGCCAAAGCTGCAGCGCTCCGCTTTCGAAGCCATGCAACTGAGGAGCAAGTACTGTTGCCTGAGCACCAGCCGGATGCCTTGGAAGTCCGGCACCTGATCCTCAAAGCACAGAGCGCTTTGTGTCGGGCCGCAACACAAATGGCAAAGCAAGAGAAAGGTCAACACGGAAGAAACTGGTTGCTTTCCGTCGCAGTTTTGCTTGACCAACGAAGCGGTTCGGGATGCCGAGTCGGGCACCTGCTTGTTTGTGATATCACACACGACTTGGCTAGTCTCTGTACATTATTTCTAAATCGTTTGTTTACAGTGAGTCCTCTGGCGCGGGGCCAAAGCCGTGAACCGCATCTCGATACGGAATTGCACGGTCGAAACGGCACGATCCCTTAGCCCATAGTTGGCGTTGTGGGACTCTGTTCAACAAAGCAGTCTCCGGCGGCTGGCAAAGTAGCTGCAATAGCTGCAAACAGAGGTGCACAAGTGCTCACATGCACGCCCCTTCAACTTAACTTCAGGGCATGACGGGACCGGCCTGGCTTATTCTTCCCAAGCCTGCTCGAAGCATCTCTGACTGGACCTTCCCAACCCGCAATACAAGAGCCTGTGGAGACAGGCAGCGAGGAGTACGTCAGCCCCATTGGTGCGATGATTTGCCGTGCAACTCAGAGACCTAGGTGTTGGAACCTTGCGTCAGATGCTATGTTCTACTTCCAAGTCAGGACATGGAGCTGCCAAAGTATCTTACACAGATGAAACGCAGATGCAACCTGCCGTCTTCATTTAGCACCTTATGCCGGCTATGCACGGGAAAATCAGGTGATTCGATTTTGATCGCACAGTAGATGAAAGAAATTTCGCTCCATCTTTTTCTGTCATGGCCATGACTGGGGCAGAACTGAAATTTCTGCTGTACGTCTCGTCAAGCAGCTCACTCGCACGTGGAACAGATGCAGCTTCTATTGGCAGTTCGTCTCACCACTACACATCATTACACACGAGCTTCGGCCGTCCGATCTTCAGAGAATCAAGAGCAATTGTTCAGGTCGTGTTGGCCTGCTCGCTTAAAGCTCAGAAGATAGCCTGCAGCCCAACACTCCTACATACCTCCGTAGACGGTACGTCCTTCCGAAACCCGTGTGTCTTTTTTGAGACTTGAACCTCGAAGTGTCCGCTAAAATGCACTTGCGGAGGAAGAGCGCAGCAGAGGGTCAGAGCGGCGTCTCAAAGCCCGCCGGCCTTGCACTCTGGCAAAGAGCGGGGGGAAGGGCAGAGCGGGAGAGCTCAGTTAGCAGCTACCATTTCCATTTTCTATGCATGCACCACCCCCTAGCCCCCAAATCCCAAACCATAACAACCTATGCCTCAACCCCCCAACCCACCGAATGACCCATAGGAAGATCCCTAGGATGGAACCATATGAAGACCCACATAGAAAAATAGCATACTCAAACCTGTACACCAACACCCCCATAGAAAAACGTATATATCATTACCAACCCTAAAACCCTAACCTGAGAAAATGGAAATGATATTCTCTAATAAAGTATCTATACTAGTAACAAGGTTTAGGCATAAGGTAGGAAACAACAGCATCTCCCGTCTCGGCCACAACGACCGCCACAACGACGAGTTCTTCATGGAAAGGACGGACTTTGTGGGTTTAGGGTTTAGGGTATGCGCCAGTGATTGATGCACCAGCACCAGCCAAGAGCCGACGTTGCGCATCAACAGGCTTTGTATAGAAAGTGTGGAGCAATGGAGAAAAAGGGCAGTGATCCCAACGATGCAGAAAATGAGCAATACGAGGAGCATCTTGTGAATGCCCACTTCTACCAGCGAAGCCATATCGCGAAGGCCCACCAGCAGCAGATACGAAGGTGGAAGAAGCGAGAGCGCAAACAACGGCATCGAGAGAAGCACCTGAACTACAAGATTGGTCAAACTACGGAAGTGCTTCGTGCAGAACGCGATGACTTGCTCTTGAGAAAGTATGATGTATTTCGGAGAAAGGAATGTTGTTGAAAAGAAAAAGAAGATACTGAGACTGCGAAATCACTGTATCTGCGGTCACCCGGTCACTTAGAGGAAATAGGACAGCTTGGTGGTAAAGACACCGCCGGGTTGCAAGAAAAAGGGCCTCTGAAGTGCAGTTGATTTGTTCTTGTGCTTCTGAACTGCATTGCAACATACATGAGCCATACATAAAGTCGTTGTAAGCCGTTTCGGTCAGCAAGTTTTGACAACATCCGTCGCATTCTCTGCCCGAGTTCCTGTAGAACAATGGGCTTCTCAATCATCTACGCAAAGTTCAATATGCAAGTCCGTGCTTACAAGCTGCAGAATGGTTCCATCCTCTTTGAAAATTCCGAGCCCTACAACCCCATGACTGAAGAGTCGAGGGCAGATTTGAATAAGTTGTCCAAGTCCGACATCTACGAGCTCTCCTGGCACGGCAACCAACGCTACGCCCTCGCCGACAGAGACAAAAACGACGAGTATGTGACTCGTGTTTCGGCTAATTGGCGCGACATTCTTCGTGGTGCAAGTGCTTCATTTCCCCAGAATGAGGGTGGCAACAACGACGGCGACAACGACACTGGCAACAACGGCGACAACGACACCGCCAACAACGGCGACAACGAAACCGACAACGAGGGCGACGACGAACAAGCCGAAGAAAAAGAACCTCCTGATGACGAAGACATGGAGGTGGAAGAGGAGGAAGAGGAGGAAGATGTGCAAACAATGCCTCTGTGGAACGAGGACGATGCGCGGAAGTTGAACATGCTGACGCGCGTGAACTCGGGCTACAGAGGGGTTGATACGGACATTTACGAGGCGATGAAGGACAAAAACGATCGTGGGAACACTTCTTGAGTGAGGCTGGGAAGTCTTTGCTGTGCCGGTGAACCAGTAATTAAAGGAGTAAGTTCGGCAAGTGCTACTACTATCGGTAATGATACAAGAGGTGCTTATTTTACTGACAATCATACTACGACAAAATGGCAACTTACAATATTACTTTACGAGCAGAAGTTGTAACATTAGAAAGTGCCGTAAATAACAATATTACCAGTCATTCATTACAAGGTGGTTCGCTGAAAATTGTTTATCCGATGCATCACACAATAGCACAAGCATTCAACGCATCGGGAACACAAATTAATATGAATGTTGTACAATTAGCGAGTGTAAGTTAAATGGTGCTTTTATTACCGTCTATAGAACACAACGGGGAAGTCATTTAGTAGCAGGAAAAGAAGACGGCTTTATTATTTACCAGATAATCATGTTAATAAGCGATGTACTTATTTCTATGCGTGAGGGTTGGTATACGATGATATCGCAAAATGCTCACCTCACCGAGAAATGTACTGTAAGATGTTCTGGTCGCCCAGTTATGGTGTTGACACTCGTTTCCCTTACAGGCAAACTCGGCAATCTTTTCTGGCGCTCGGGCACTGAGACCCGATGCTGTCTGTGCACAGGAGGACACACACACACGATGTATGGCTTGTCGGATCAACGAGTATCAATCAGTTCTGAAGACTCAATTCTTGAGCCAAAACGGTTGCCGGTTTATGAGCCTGTCGGACTGAGAGACTTCCGGACTTGGACTTGGTCACATAAGGTGGTCCAAGTTCGGTTCCTGCTTGGTAGCACAAGGCTGCCCAAGCGTTGTCACAAACATGGTAAAATATAGCTCATGATACGATGCCCAGAAATATACTAAGCTTCGAGGTCTCTTCGCATCCCCCATGAGTGAAGCCTTTGGCTCCACTCAGAAATAGGAAGAGAGTCGTGGGACCTGAAAAGAAATTGTAGCTCAACGGCAATTTGGCGATGGTCATGTGCGTGTAAACTCCCCAATTAATGGCTTCGTGAAACATGGTTACGTCGACTGCGATCCCTTGTTCCGGCTAGAATGAAAGGACCGACACATCGAACACAAAATGGTGCAAGGAGCCATGTCCAGGATGTGAAGATGGCTTCGGCAAAGTGCACGTAGAAGATCACCTGTCCCATGGGTCCTTGTGCCATCGGCGGTTGCCTCGATAATACTGGGATCCTGATGATGAATTTTCTTGCCACTGACCATAACGTTCGTGTCGATGCCATCGATCCTATTGTGGAGGAGGACCTTTGGGTTCAGGTGCCTTCCTTGCCTTGGCTCTGGCCTTAGCTTTCGCCCCGGGCTTCGTTGGCGGCCTCAGCCTCCTCCCGAGTCACTGGCCTGTCGATAATGCTTTGTTGGCCTGCAGGAAGATATCCGTCAGGTAGATGCCGCAGTGCTGTGGTGTTGTAGGTCTGGACACCATGCTGTCAGCTTGACGTAAGTCTAGCAACGTACTTTGCCTGCATCTGGATGTCGAGATCCACCATCATCGCCAAAAGTTGTTGTGCGCAGGTTGCCGGGCCTGTGGCGCTTGTTAGAGAGGCCAGGCGGGATGCCGGGCTTGTGGCGCCTGTTAGGCCCCGCCCAACCCCGCGCGCGCTGTGTGGGATGGGGCCTGTATGCTGGGCCTGGCCCGACCCTGCGCGGGCCTGTGGGGCCTGTTGGGCCTGGCCCGACCCCACACACGCTGCCGGCCAGAGGTTTGGCCGTGGGATGCAGGAACGTGGCGCCTGTTAGAGGCGCCGTCGCATGCCGGGCCTCCCCATCCCACACGCGCACCGTGGGATGTGGGGTCTGTGGAGTCTGTAAGAGGTCTGGCCTGACCCCACGCACGCCGTGGGATGCCGGGCCTGTGACGGCCTGTGGAGCCTGGCCTGTGGAGTCTGTTGCCTTTCCCCACGCGCGCCGTGGAATGCCGGGCCTGTGAAACCCTGTTCGAGGCCTGGCCCGACCCCGCGCGCGCGCGCCGTGGGATGCCGACCCCACGCACGCGCGCCGTGGGATGCCGGGCCTGTGCAGCCTGTAAGAGGCCTGTTTGGTTGGGCCTGTGGAGCCTGTTAGAGGCCTGGCCCGACCCCGTGCGCACCGTGGGATGCCGGGCCTGTGGAGCCTGTAAGAGGCACACACACACACACCCGGTTGGAGAGCCGCGGGAGCCGCGGCAGCTTGGCCGGCAGCATGGAGGTCGGGCGCTTTTCTTTCATGCGTCGCTGCATCACTGACGATCTGCTCAAGACACTTCGTTTTCCGGCCTGCAGTGACAGGCTTAGAAAGTATCGTATCGCTATTGTTGTAGATGCCGTCGGAGAAGCACTGCTCTGGCACCTGCGTGGCTCACAGATCAGCTGTAGCTTCTGCCTGGTTCCGCGTGACTCCATGCTCGTGGCACCGGTTGGAGAGCCGCAGGAGCCGCGGCAGCTTGGCCGGCAGCATGGAGGTCGAGCGCTGTTCTTTCATGCGTCGCTGCATCACTGACGATCCGCTCATGAAAGTTCTTGTTCCGGTCTGCAGCGACAGGTTCAGAAAGTATCGTTTGATCTGCATGTCTTCTGCTCTGTTGATGCATTATTGTTGTAGATGCCGTCTTTCGAAACGACCTCCGATTCCCTGGACAAAGGGCCCAGGTGTCCACTCACTCACTCACACATCCACCTTAATAGCGACTGACGACATCTTCACGACCGCCGATTCCTCCGACAAAGGACCTTGAAATGCGGGCACAGCGGAAGTGCAGATTGAGCG